CAATATATATTAGAGAAGAGTTAGTCAGAGGTAATAACTAAAAAACGGAAAGTTAGAAAGAATAAATTAGAATCAAGATTCCAGAGATTAAAAGATTCATACATTGTTTACATCACTGATTAAGGGGTATATTGAATATAGCCAATTTTGTGACATATATAATATATATACAAGATACAGCAAGCAACTACTAGTTTAGTATATACATATATATAGCTTCTTCGAAAGCTCCCCCTCTTAATATTCACCCAAACACAATATTCCGAAGAAAAATTTCTGATCGCCAGAGATTATATTTCGGTCTGAAACCAACCTTACAAAGTCTGATCAGTATCAGCAACACCCGCTGCTCACTACGAGCCACTATAACATCTCATACAGCGTCATCTGAGGGCAATAACCTGGAAAATGCGAATTACACCAATCCGCAAGATTCAGAAACATCTTCAAACCTACGAAATCGCTTTAAGAAAAGACAGTGTGCCCTCACCAACGAGATACTACCAATCTTCAAACTGGGAAAGAGAGTATATACCAACACAATCAACTCAGCAACAGAGGCCTTCAAATCCAAACTTGCTGAATACGAACACACAGAAAGAATACAACGGAAAGTCATAATTAGCCTGGTGGAGGCAATTGACAGATACGTTGACTTCTCCGCTACAAGAGATGAGCAAACAACAGCCAGGAAACTGAGCAACAGAGTTGTGGAAATCCTTATACTCACCCTTGACAACGGATCTAACCCAGCATCGAGTTCAACACACACACTGCCAACAACTGAAAGCGTGGCCTCTACGAAAAACACAGGCCCCAAAACTTACACGGGGATCCTGAAAACCTCTAAAACGAGCTAAGCCGGGGCGGACCGAATAAACCCATTTACACCTCAAGAGACCCTATCAAAGGCTTTACCCAACAATACACAATCTAAACATCGAGTAACACGAACCGCCCGGAGCACAGATTACAGGCTACTAATAGACATCAGTCCCGCAGCCCGGCTTAGCCGCCTAGCCCTGTTTGCACTAAGAAGCGCTCTCTGTGGTGCAATCACAGACCTCTCACTGGTTGATGTCCCCATTATAACAGCTACTAAGACAGAATAAACCATCATGCCGAAAAACCTGGCAACATACGAACTACTTCGCACACAGGAGAATGAAGAGATCATCCTCAGACTTAGCCAAGGTACGCAAATACATCAATCGGTAACGTAGTATAACTACGCAGTCCCCGGAGTCCTAGTATCAATTCGTATACTAAATGGGCATCCAATTGATACAGCTAGTCACGTGGAAGCAGAGGTACAAGTATAGACAGGCCAAACCTTAGTCAGCTGCAGATCCTCCCGACACAGGGCTAACCCTCACAATGGCACAATTACATGGGTAATCTCCTTTCTCAAATCAGTTCATGGTTTCAGACTCTTCAACGCCAGCGACCTGGCACGAGAAATCAAGGCGAAACCTACCATAACCCGATATAATACCGGCTGCCAAGGCTGGTGTAACCCAGCGAGATACACTAAACTCATCTGCTGTGCGAACTGTGGTGTTCGAAAGGACTCATATGAAGGATTACAAGGGTTCAATTGTATAACAAAAGCGCAATGCACCAATTACTTCGGATTATTTGTAGCAAGACACCAGAACTGCCTAGTGGCACCCAAAGTGGTGGGTGATAGAGTCATTGCATCTATCAGGCCCCAACTCAAGGCTATCCGAAAACCAGCCCTGGTATTGGAAACGGTGATACTTGCTAATCAGAAGGCAAAAGAGGATTCAAAGGAAGGACCTATCTCAGTCATATCTATCCCGGCACAAAAACACCTGGGGGTACAAATCTTCACATACAAAAAAGCAACAAAAGCTCAAACCACCCCAGACCAAACAACAACTCAACCTATAAGAAACATTGCTGCAGTAAACCAACCAAAACAGAAACCCTCAATGAAAACAAGACTCAATGAGGAGACCTTAGCTGATAGCTAGCAGGACATCGAAATAGGAGAGACCCCCTAACCTAACTTATATGAATAGATGTCTAATATATCAGGGTGATGTGTGTAGTTACCAACAGCCCAGAACATAGGACCTAACAGTTTGCTGGGTGAACGTGGGCAGAATACTAGAAGTCTACGATACCCTACTACAAATAGCGTTTGAAGACAAATCAGATATCCTATGTATCCAGGAACCCTTCACATTCCCAACCACAAAAACCAAGATGCACCCAGGATGGACCCTATATGTACCAGTCGACTCATAGACAAGAACATTCCCCGAACAGAGAGAAACAAAACAATCCCAAGTATTGATATATATCAGAAAGAATGCAAACCTGTGAATCTAACAACAATATCCAATCAAAAACCGAGATATACTTTGGATAGATGTAAACAGGTATCCTATAGTAAACGTATACCAGCAACTACAAACAGAACAAGTACTATTATACATTATCGAACTGCAACCTTCCCCAAGGTGCCTTATCGAAGGCGATTTCAATGCTATATATGAAATATAGTAACCTGAATCGGAAAATTTACATAAAAGAAACGAGCTAACAGCCTGAACAGATCTAACTGAATTAGACTATATCGGAGAACAAGAAACATCTATCTACTCGAAAGGAAATATACTTGACCTCACCTTCTTCAACATACTATTTGCAGTAACCAGAATCCGATATAATTTACACAGCGGCTCGAACCATTCCATCTTGGTAACAATAATACCAGGCAAAGGAATCAAATCTCTTGATTAACACAATATCCGTATCCCAGAAACGGAACTACTGAGATTAGCAGAACTAGTGGTTAACGGAGTGGTGTATATGATCACAAGTGACCCTTTCGATACCCCAAAAAGAATAAACGACTTCGCAGATCAACTTACCCAAATAATCAAGTAAATAATCAAAGCGGCAGAAACCAAGGATAAAGGAAAGGGCAAAACAACTCCCTGGTGGATAACAGAATGCAAAAAGGTTTATATAAAGCATCTGTACAAACAAGTTATACCAGGGAACCTCTTCACTATAGTAACAAAAGAGTTCAAAACAGTAGTTAGAATAACCAAACATGGCTACTAGAGATGTGTTATAGACAATATCTCCAATGACAAGAATCTATACAAAATAATCAATTGGCACAAACTAGCCCCGAATCTCAAAAGTCTTCTAATCACTTCAAATAGAGTGGTGATAGAAGACTTGATGGAAAAAGCCGAACTACTCAGAATGGAGGTCTTGGATTAGTTCAATATGAAGAATGATCTCGAATATGATCTATTGAGAGACTAATAGGAAGAAAAAGGATATCTACCTTGGAATTCTTGTATTACAATGAAAGAAATCGAAACAAATGTTATTGGAGTATCCAGCATATTATTAGAAACTGATCGAGTCATAATCAGACTCCTCAAAGTCTGCTAGAATCATCTCAAAGACCTATTAAGATAGCTTTGCCAGAAATGTCTTGAATACAGCCATTTCCCGAAAACCTGGAAATTAGTTGAAATAGCTATAATACCCAAAACCAGCAAAAGAGATATAACGTCCGCAAGGTCATGGAGACCCATTGCCTTACTCTTTTGTATAGAAAAGGGCCTGGAAAGAATAATTGCTAAACAGATAAGCTGGATAGCTCTAAAACATAGTATCATCAATCCTCAGTACAGCAGAGCCTTGCCCAAATACTCTACAATAAACTTGGTGGCATTCTTTATATACGATATGGAAACTATATTAACAATTGGGAAGAAAGTAACTATAATCACTATAGATGTGTAAGAAGTATTCGATGTATTACTCAAAAGACAACTCCTAATTAGGATGATGGAACAAGGCTGATTTAAAAACCTATTTCTCCTAATTGACTCCTTTCTAACAAAAAGAAAAATCAGAGTAAGGTTAAAACAAGTTACAATCAAGGAATATCTAGTAATCTACAGAACTTTACAAGACTTTCCCTTTTTATTAATTCTTTATATATTATATTTAACAAAACTAATATTGAAAAACACCTCTTTCAGATTCGGATATGTGAATGATATATGTCTATATAAAGTATCCAAAACCTTAGAAGAAAACACCAGACTTTTTACTAAAGATGTTCAAGATGTTATAAAATAGAAATTGAACAATCGTATTGCTTTCGCCCCAGAGAAACTGGAAATGATCTATATCTCTATAAGAAATGGTAAAGCAATATCTGCTATCAGAGTGAATAAGGAACTCACGATTCACCCGATAGTGGTTACAGAAGCAAATACCTGTCCAGCACTGAAATAGCTGGGAGTGTGGTTCGATAAAAAACTGAACTTTCGGAGGCACGTTATAGAATACGTAAGCAAAGCCAGGGTAGTGGCAAAATATATTCAAGGTCTAGCCAAAGTTGTACAAAGCCCTCTGGTATATTCGATGTGCAAGGTAATGATAATATGTGTACTTCCTTTATTCCTATATAGAATTGAAGCCTAATACGGAGGAAGACATAAGGTCTCATGGAGATCCAAATCCGGATAAACGAAATCTAATACCCGCTTAGGCTGGCATGTAACACAAATCGAGAAAGTCTTTACAATAGCGATACGAAAAGTCATCCCGGCCTGGAAAACCATATTAATAACCACCCTCTACTGCAAAACAGGATTTCTCTCAGTTATAACAATTCTTAAGAAAGCTAAACTGAGATTTGCTTTATATCTACAAAAAGTAGACGAGATCTACCTGTTTACAAAAAGGATTGAACTCCTTATAATCATCAAAGGACAAGGTACAGACTCAAGACAAAAAGTGAAGACCAAAATCCAACGATTTGATTGTCTTATCTCCCCAATCCCGAGACTTATATTCGAGCCACCAAGGTACACACCCGATTACCGAATCAATCTAATAGAAGGGCTTGACAAGAAAACGACTGCAAAAGCCTTCCAAACCTGATGAGACAATCTGCTGGATATGAACATCACTATCTTTTCAGATAGATCAGAAAACCATATATATAGAAAATACATAATGAGTTACAGATATATAATGTATCTAGGCAAGAACCAGATATTAACAGATATTAGCTTTTTCAATACCCAATCCTATATCTTTGATACAAAGGTTATTGAAGTGTGGATAAGCCTGGAATGTATCTTCAAGGATGTTAGATATACTGGCCAGAAAATCTGGATGTGTATAGACAGCGTTTCGGTCATCTAATACATACGGACTAATGCCCCTATGTCATCCCAATGGGCATTCAACAATTACTACAGAGCCATAAAGGAAAATGCCATCCAGATCAAATGGTTATCGGGATATAAAAACATCGAAAAAAACGAGGCGGCTGACTACCTCGCGGATCTCGGTGCTAAGAAACCCTGGTGTGATATTGGATCTGTGTCCCAGTCCATTTACAATAGAGTACAATCGATTATACACAACCTCAGAGAAACTGCCTGCCAGGAATAGTGGACCTCCCACAAACCTGCTTTCTCAAAGTAGTACAAACAATGGGACCCAGTATATAAGGTCAAACTATTGCTAGAACTTTTATTCCTGCGAGTAGTTCTATACAAACTGATAGTTATCCAAACTTTATATAGAGATTTTGAATAATATTACAAGAAATTCAAACACGAAAGGGATACGGAATACTTCTACGGAAAGCCCAAGATTCCTGATTATCTGGTACACTACCAGAAAGCAAGAGATACTTTCGAAAAATGACCAAACAAGCCCTTCATCCCATTATTGATAAAGACAAAAGGAATCCAATACCTATACTATGTATTAAATAATCCTATGGATTTTGCCGAACTATTGAAGCTAACAAAGTTCTATAAAAACATATATTTAAGGTAAAAGACCACAAGTCTATACTTTATGAACAAAACCCTCAAAAACCCTCGACAAATTCATACCCATTACCAGGATTGATTCGCAATATACAATACAAACGAAACCATAACTTCCCTTGCAAAGTATATACAAAAAAACAATTACTATTGTCAGGACCTAAGAACCCTGATAAATATCAACAAGGCATGCGAAAGCATACCCAAGAATACTCCCAGGAGTATATCAAACATTCTAATTATTATATTTTAAAAATAGTTTATTGAACTATCTAAACTTATGCAACAACAAACCCACAATATAGATATAACTGCCTATATCAAGCAAAACAGCAGGACTACTTCAACCAGCAGAGAAGGAAATGCACAAATTGGAAGGTAATATACAATTACCAGGAATGGCTGTAAGGCTTTCACTTTTCTTTCTAAGGCACTCTCATCTCATATATCGTAAGACTATAACTTAGAACATCAGCATACCCCTAGGGAGGTTCTGAGGGCAGCCCTAAGCTGCTCTCCTGATGTAAATTAATACTACCTACCTACCTACCTACCCCTCTTAATATTCTTTAAATTAGTCTACAAGCATTGAATCCACTGTACGATATCCAGTTTACGTGATTCATTATTCAACCATACTTGACCCATAATTCAACAATTATTATATTGTTTCTCTTGATTAAGATAGATTTCATTCTTTTTGAGAATAATGATATCTTTATTGAATTTGATAAAGATATTTTTAATAAATTATTCCCTGTTTTTAATAAAAAACTTTATATTTTCGAATTGTTTCTATTCTTGAGTTATAAACAAAGTATCTTTTATTATAGAAATATTATCAATTTAAAGTCTAATAATATCAAAATCGTTTTTAGCTTTGTTTTTAGTATATATATAAAACAGAGATTGTATATTGATTAAGTTATTCCTAATTTATTGATATAATGATCATAATAGATATTAAACCAATGATTTCCAGTTTCTGGGATATTGTAAAGAGAACAAATAATCTGCAAAATGAAATTAGAGTCTATATCGATTTCGGCTAATAATCGAATATAGAATAATCTATTAAGATCGATAGTAGATTATATATAT